TCTAATATATGCAAGTTATGTTTTGTTTTTATCTATTTTATATATAGTTTTATCTGTATTATCTTTTTTTGATTCATGCTATTTTACTAATACCTATTTAATTTAAAAGCCTATTTAACTAATATTATGCAAATGATATATAATATTAATATATATGCCTTATATTAGAACAGAATTATTGTAAATTTAGAATTTATTTAAATTGAAACAAAATTCTAAATATAGTCCAAGTAAATATAAAATTTAAAACAACTTGAATTGATTCTAAATTTGATACTATATAATTAATAAATTTAATATTAATTTAAGTTGCATTTAAATTTGATACTATAATAAATATAATGGCATAATAAATTGTTAAAATAAAATATAAATTTATTATTATTACTATTATTTTCTTTTTTTACTTTTCATTCTTTGCAACTTTCTTTACCTAATAGCCAAATCTCAAGATTATTAATTTTTATCTCATAATATATTTGAAGAATTACAGTTACAAGTTAGCTAATAGATGACATAAAGCTTTTATAACATATGACTAATTTTTGTAAGATCTTACAAGATTCAGCAAATATAGTAATTAGAAGTGCAAAAGATTGTTATTAAGCAAAAATGTATTTGCAATATTTGATCTTAAAAACAACTTATTAAATTTGGCACAATTCTACTTGTGCTTATTGGATTTTAACAAACTTTCAGAGTTAGAGTATTTTTTTAACACTTATAAGCATTTGAGAAGCATTTATTATACAATCCTCTTTATAAGTAATACTAAATGCAATTGCAAAAATATATAACAAAAATAAAAATATTAAAAAGTGAATCATAGTAATAAAAGCTTTATGTAATGCTTTTAAATTTAATTAATTTGTAATGCAGTGTATTATGAATAAACTCTATTCTAAAATAACTTAAATTTCAAAACAATGTACCTAATAGAATAATTTGAAATATATTTAATTTTGTTGTAAATTGGATTAGAATTTTTTAATAATTTGGATATATTTTAAAATTCTATTGCAAACTATACTTATTTAGAATTAATCTAAATAAATTCTAAACCTATAATAATTCTATTCTGATGTATAATTTATATATATAACTAATAAAATGCTAATCCTAACTCTATGTAATGTTAGTTAAATAAATTGTAGATAAAATAGGTATCAAAAAAAAATGCAATTCATCATCTATTTTGAGTTATCAATTTATGTATTTGCATAAATTTTTCTTATTTATACTGTAAATCCTTATATATAACAATCTACAAATCAAATTTAAAAATTTTTTAAAACTATACAATTATAATCTTGGATTAAAAAAAGAAAAAACATTAGTTCTAATTTTGATTATAAATTTTGAATTATAAGAAAAAAAAACATTAAAGATATATTTTCAAGAATACTGTATTAATGTCTTCAAATTTTTGATAGTAATCTTAAATGATATATTAATACTTATATTTTGCAAAAACATTTTATTAACTTTCTTAAATCTTAAACAATCTATGTAAAGATTAAAGAATAAAAAAGCATTATTAGATGTGCTTCATAAGAATACCACACTATATTTGAACCTTGAACAAAAAGAAAAAAATAATAATAACCTTATTTTTTGTATGAATCTAGATTATGTAAAAATTAACAAACCAAAAAATCTATAAGTTAGAATGAAGGAGTTAATTGAGAGAATAATGCAAATGATGTAATTGAATATAATCTAAAAAGACAAAAAAAATTTACACTAATTAATAAATATAAGTAAAGATAAAAATTAATTCATACACATAATACAAAAGAACTCATCTTTGGTATAGCTAGTGTTATAAATAATACTGAGTTGGACTTCTATTATGTAAGAAAAAAAACCTAGATAAGGCAAAAATCCTGTTCATTTACTTATATTGTAAAAGCATTTAGACTGTAAAAAGTTATTGTAACAATCATCATTGGCTGACATTGAAGATCAAAAGAAAGAACATTGTTAATAACTATAAACCAAGGGAAAAACATATAAATAAAAAAATAAACATTTTAAAACTTGAAAAAAACAAAAGTAAAATGCAAAATGATTAACATTATTGGTAGAAGAGACAATAGGTGTGAAGTCAAGATCGTGAAAAGTTTAAGTGTTTGTATTATATATGTCAACATCAATAGCATTTGACTTGACGTTGTTTATTGTAAATACAACCTGTAATATAATGAAAGAGAAAGATCATAAACTGCATTGAAAAAAGGTTCATTATAAGAAAAAAAAAAGATACAGATCCAAACAGTAAAGTTTGAGATGTATGATTTCCTTAGAGAAACAAATTGAGAGCAAAAGAAAAGTATGAATGGCCAAAGTAATCAGGTAATCTGAATATGAATGAAAGAACAAAAATCGAATACAAACATGAAGGTCCCAATGAAAAAAGCATGAAAATAATGAAGTTGAAAGGAAGTGATTACTCTGAAAATTATTAATAAAAAAATAGCCGTCAATAGAAATCAAGCAAATTTATTAGAGGAATTTCTATTGACGGCACTAGTTAGTCAATGATCGACACAAACGACATATTCCGATCATCGAGCCAAAATCGATCTACCAAGGCGATACGAATGAGCAAAAATAATTTATTACATTTACTTGAAATTTTATTACATTTATTAGCTGTATTTTATAAGTAAAAAATGGTTATTATAACTTTTTCTACTAAATAAATGATATAACTCATTTTTGAAAAAAATGTCGATTTGCTTGATTTCGATTGACGGCAGCCCATATATGAAAAAAGTTAAAAATGGAACACATTAAAACAAATAGCCAATCAAATTGGGTTAAATTTACAGTATATTAAAAGCATCAAACAGTCATGAGTCAGACTCAATGTGCTCCATACTAGGTTGACACAAAGGACCGATTCTAGTGAGCTTTTTGTCAACCTTAATTTAGGTCGATAATACATTTGTGGTAATCGTGAATTCAACCCAAAGTTATCATGAATTCGTCAAATGTGCAAATGTATGTTTCTTCTCGCGAATTGCCTATGAAACTTATAGCCGGGTTATAATTTCAGTACAGTATTATGATCCTTGTTACAAGTGAATAGAATTTCAAAAAGCTCAAGACATTAACGATTACTATCACCTGATCTTTGTATAATAATATCTCGAAAAATCATTGTCGGTTCTTTACATAATGGAGCAGATGACCATTCGGGTGTAACAAATTTGTATTATCTAACTTTTTTCTCGATGTGTCACAAAGACTGCTCCAAATTGATTTTCTGCTTAACATAAAATAGCTCATAAGAGTGGGTAATCTATTGGCTATAAAAAATATATAAAAGATTAATACTTTAGATTAGTACTTTAATTTGATTGGTTAATACGATGTTTTTTTGTTATATAAAATAGAGGTGAGGGATTATGTTAAATAGAAAATTAAATTGGTCTGGCCTTATTGATCGAAAATCTTATCAATATTTAGTTTAACCGTCTAACGCTATGGGCTTATCACCTTTCAAATTACACCCGATATATCGGAGATTCGGACAAAAATGTTCGCGACCGGGTTTATAACCCCTCAAGCATAACCACTAGGGATAGGTAACGTAATAATTATGTAAGCGATAAGCAATTTAACCCTTACCGTTACATATTTGATAAATTATTATATACATATTATTAAGTAATTTCAGAGTCATCGAATACAAATAGGCTACGTCACTTATCTATATTATGATTACAAATAAACTATATAAAATATGTATATACAAAATTGTTTAAGTTAAATAAAAAGGATGAAGTACTGGAATTAACTATTTTTGCTGCACAAGTTATGTCAATACATGTATTCGATGGCATATTGTACAGAAAAGAAATGATTCACATCGGACTTGATAAAAAATCATTCAAACTAATACAGCTAATTCCAATGAAAGAACAACTTAAAGAGAATGTAATACAAATGATTGAAAACAATAATTTTAATACTAACGATCAAATTATATATAATGAAACCGTAATTGAATCTTCTATTCAAGCTATACATAATATTCAAGGAAAAATTTTAGGAGGCTGGTTAGTTTTAAAAATTCGATAATGTTTAATCGTTAAATTAATCATTAATTGTATATGATAAATTGAATTCGCTGCGAAAAATTTAAATTTAATTAATATATATATATTGAAGTCTTTTTTTATTTGGATATATTAATTTTATCATAATTTGTAAGAATATGTTGAAATACACGCAATCATAAATAATGCAATAAGTGATAATTTTTATAATAAAATTTTTATAAAAAAAATTTTATTATGGAATGAAAATTTCAATAGTTACTATGTTTTATTATAAAAATTATCATGTGCTGCATTATTTAGTGTATGTAAAACTAATAACCAAGTCAGTTCAGCATTATATGAATTTTCAGGTGATTTTATTATGAAAATTTTTATTATATTAAATTAAAGTACGTAAGTGATTTGGGTGGTTATGCTTGTTCGTCCACGTTATGATAGTTGTTGCATAATACGATCCAATAAGACATTCCTGGCTCACATTGTTGTTAGTTGTGTATCATATGGACCTTAATCTAACTTAAAGTACAAAATTTACCGAATTTAGTGTTTTGTTCTTGTTATCTTTAAATTTTCGGAGAAACGGCTCCCTGGTTTTATGTCTGTAAGTTGCTTATTTTGTACACATTTCATTCATTTGTTGTTTTATTCATTGTACAATGACTGATTGGTAATAAATGAAATGCTTTTGGCGCAATTATAACGTTAAAAAGAAAAATAAAAAATCAAGCCAATTTCTTTCAAGCTTTTTTTCGAGCTTATCTAAAGATTAAAACAAAGAAGAAAATTGTCTTAATCAGTTTAACGAAACATTTATTTATCAAGGTATTTCTTTTTAAAAATTAAGTTTGATCAAGTATTACCGCAAAAAAACAACTCAAAGTATTTTTTTGTCAAAGAAACGAACATTTTTCAAACCATGTTGAAGAGAAATCATTCTGGCTTGTTTCGCTTTTTTGCTCTCACACTAAACTCATTATACACTGCAATGTTAAATGGATTATTCGCATTTATAATCACTGTACAAATTGTATTTATGATTCATCATATGCTTTACTATGCAGATAAGATGGTAACAATGGCATTGTGCATGTAGCTGTCAACTTTTCCTGTATGTATCTCAAAGTTACGATATTCAACTCTTTGTATGTTTTCATTAAGTTCGTGTTGATGTTTTTTATTAGGTCTTCTCTCTTTTTGCATTCTCAATCATTAAAATGAACAAATTCTGGTAATGATAAGCATTGCCAATTCGGTTACAAAAATGAGATCATGTTCTAATCCGAACAAAGCTTATCGCCAACACAATGTCAATTAGATTTGCATGATAGTTACACTTGCTAAATAATCGTATGATTTTAAATATTCATGTGTGAATATTTGATTTCTTATCTATCGCATATTTGCTCGTTTATTAATTATTCTATTTTCTGTTAAGTGTATTCCTTAAACCGTCCAGCAGGCAAATTTACCTGCTAGAATTTTTTTTAACATGTTTTTGTTAAATTATTCAAAATTTTATTAAGGATAAGTATTCCTATTACTAGTTTAAAATAAAAATTTAGCATATTGTTAATTGGTATTAATTAAAATTTCAATTATGTATATATTCAAAATTAGTTTAAATATAAACAATTTTTAAATTTTAAAATGGTGCAAGACATCTATACTTAACAGTTACATAAAATGTTTCAATTTTTTTTTTTTAAATATTAAGGTGAGGTCATGCTCTAACTTTATTGAAGTGTTTCAATTTTTTAAATGATTATCTTTTTAAAAGCTTTTAGATAAAAAGGTATAACTAATTGAAAAAATTGAAGCATTTTGTATAACTTTTAAGTATAGATGTCTTGCATTATATAAAGTTTTTTTAAAAAATTTCAAATTTTATATATTTCTAAAGAAAAAAAAAATTCTCTACTAATTAAAGTTACAGCTATTGAAATATCAATTAATAATGTATTGATATAACGTATTTAATATAACATATTAAATTATGTATAAATTTTATGACATTAAGGATGATGTATAAAAAATAACTACCTTTGATTCTCTAAATATCTGCATTTTACTACTAATTAATGTTAAAATTTAATTATAAAGTTATAAAAATTTTTATAATAAAAGTTATTTATAATAATTTAATCTACAATTTATATTAAAATTATAAATATATATTCTTAAAATTTTTAAAAGTGAGGATGGTGATCCTAATGTAGTAGTTGGTTGTTATCCTTCAAGTGGCAGGTCTAATGTTCAAATTTCATCTATAACAAAATTTAAAATTTACATTTGTGTTATAATAATTGTCTTTTATTAATTAATTGGTCTTATGTAATGTTTCAAGTTAGTTAAAATTTTGTCAATCAATTAGTTGTCAACTATAATTGCAACTAATTGATTATAAATATCACATGACCAAGTTAATTGTTTAGTTATTTAGTTGTTAGTTGTTTAGTTGTTATATATTTGTATAGTTGCTAAGTTGTATGATTAATCTTAAAGTAAATCTAATTTGACTACAGAATATATTTATATAATAATTTAGATGTTTAATTATTAAAACTAAAATACTCAAATTTTATATTTGTTTTTAATATAATTTTATAAATTAAAATTTGAAATATTGATGAGACAAGATGAAACATCTTAATATAGAGACAAAAAAAAGCCTTGTAATAGTCAAAATGTCTTACTATATCACTAATTAGATTTTTCAGAAACAAATATTTAAGCTATAAGGTTAAAAAATTATATTTATTTTATGAAAACTCACTTCTACTATAAATATATATGTAGTCATTATTTGCTCTAAGTGCCAAAAATAATTAGCATTAGTGTTATATTAAAAACTCAGAGACTTAGTTTTTATAACACAGTTTAAAATTATAAAAATCCAGTTTAAATGCAAATTTCTAAAGATCAAGTTATATAATATAACATTAAATTACAGTTTAAATTATTTTTTTTTATTTATTTGTTCATTTATTGAATAAATTAATAGCCAAAAAGCACAATTTAAGATTTATTTTCTGCTTAAATTAACTATCTAGTTAGCCTATTATTGGATAATAAATATTTAACTTAATTGATAGAAAATTTGAAATAATATTTGAAATAATATTTATATTTAATCTTAAACAATCTATGAATTGAAATTTAGCATAAAACAAAAGATATCTACAAATATATGTAAATTAAATAAAAAACCTAAAAACAACTATTTAATATAAATACTAAATAACCTAAAATTAAACTATTAGTAAAATAATTAGAGTTTAAAATTTTGCAAAAAATTACACATATTATATAATAAATAGAATTTTTTGAATTTTTTGAAATCTTGCTAAATGATTTTTATACTTATCAGACTAATACAAGCTAAATGACCAAAATAACATTGTTTAAAAGTAAAACTTATAAGCTTGAGTTATTATAAGTTTTGAATATAATAATAACTAATATTTATATTTATATAATTAATATAAATTAAGTAGCACAACAAGTACTATTAAGGTGAAAACTTAAATTTAAATTATAAATTTTATTATTAATTTTTTTTTTAAAGTTAAACTAGCTTTTTTTGGGACTAAAGCTTTATTCAGTAAATTAGAACATAAAGACTTGTAGCTAAAGCCTCAAAGAAGTTACCTTATATTAAAGAGTATAACTAGTTACACATATATTTTTAATGTCTAATTTAAGTAGTTTGCCAATAGTTCTATACTAGCTGCTATATCTGCAATCTAACTAAAAGCATTGCCTATTTAAACTCTCTGTACTGCAATCTCTACTGTGTTATTAGATCATCTCTAATACAGATGTTAGTTAAGAAGGTCTAGATATTTTTACTTATATTCTTAGAACCTTATACCTTATTTTATATCATATATCCTCAAAAGCATTATTACTAGAGCATTTTGTGTTTTATATATAGCTAATCTAGTTTTATATAATACAGTATAGTTATCTAATACTTGCAATTACAAGATTACCTGTTTAACTACTAAGTTATACTATTTTTACCCTTGTAAAGTTCACTCAAACTCTGTTACCTATCTTTTTGACTTTTTTTCTTTATTCTTCTACTATTCAACTCAGAATCTAACAGACTCTCCAGACTTCTAATCCAGATAGCCCAGTATGGTATAGTTTAGTATCCTTTTTCTTTGGTAATTCTGATAGCCTAGTTAGTTATATGCTCCTCTATACATCTTTCTATTTAGTTACATCTGCCTATTTCTTATTGGGATTTTTTGAACCTTAATTAGTTTAATAGCACTATCAAAGGTTTGTGCTACTTTTTTATTTAGAAATTTTCAAATAAGCTTCTATCTTCTCAGTTTTTTGGTCTTCTACATCTAGTGGTCTTATTGTAAATTTGTATTAAAGCCTTATATAACATCAGTTATTAATATTCCTTTATATATATATAATGTTACACTTTGCATAGATGCTCTGAGCTTCTAATGATAAGTAGAACCTGATTGGTTGTACTCAAGATTACAGATACCTAAATCTAACTGATCGACAAAAATAGTTTTTCATAATATAAGTTAATTTTCAAATTTTATTATAGATAGAATTTGAACCTTAGACCTGCCATTTGAAAAATAACAACCCAACCATTATATTAGAATTGCTATCTTCAGATCATAAATTTTAAAGACTTTAGATATAAATAATAAATTAAATATAAATTCACTAAACTAATACAGATTAAATAACTCAAAAAGCACTGTTTAAAAGACAAGTATTATAATAAGCTCAACTTACAAAGATTAAATAGGTAATAAAATAATATTAATATATATCAAATTGATGCAAATTAAAATATTTAAGATGTAAAAGTATTATTTAAAAAAAATATTTATAAGTTTAAATAATGAATTTAACAAACAATTTTTATACTTATCAAGTTTATTTAAAATAAATAAATAGCAAGAGGTTTAATAATAATATTTGTAAGATTAAATTGTAAAAATTAAATAGAAATGTCAACTCCCAAGTGGCAGATCCAGAGTTCAAATCCTAGTGTCGATGGAAAATTTGAAAATTCTCTTTGTGTTATGATTAACTGTCTCCCGCAATTGCTTAGGATAAGACACCTGTAATCTATATTGCATCAGTATGACTGGCAGGTCACATGGCATTTGTGTAATAGTTACATGACATTGTCCTTTGGGACAAGGTCTGTAGTTATATAAAGAAATGCAAACTGGTACCAGGTGGTGCAACCTATAATAAGTCCTCATAGCCATGTAAATCATAGGAACCAATAGAAGAAAGATGAAAGTTCACTTGAAAGACCTGAGTAAAGAGGTAACCTGAGCTTTTGATAGTGCTACTGTAAAGACTAGACTTATGAAATAGAGCTAGAACTTGTGAAACTGGGCAAATGTGCCAGTCTTTAAGAAGGAACCAGATGAATCAACTAGGCTACTGGAATTTTTAGGTTTCAGAGGAAAAGGATACATGCTGGCACACATGTAAACCAGAAGTATGGTCTTGTTCTATCTTTTTGGGCTATCTGAAATGGCAGCTTGGTGAAACTTGAATTGAATACCAAAGTAGTAAGGATATGTTGTGAAGTAAATACTGAGATTGGGGTGAACTCTATAAGGGCATAGTGGTTTAATGGTATGCCCTGACTACTAGTGTTGATCTTAGTTATAATGATACCAGGTCAGCTATAAAAATAGGATACAGAAAATTCTGGAAGGTTTAGTACAAAGTCAAAGGTTCCAAAGAACTGCTTTAAAGACTTAGTGGCCATGGTATATTTTCACTGGCATTAGCCAGGGTCGTTGGTAGGCAGAGGTAGGTGGGTGGAAACGAAAACAGAGTGGTTAAATAGGGAACCTACAAGTGGGTTCCAAGTATAACAGCTAGTGTAGAACCTTTGAGTGAACTACTTAAATTAGACAATGACTAAAGTTGTATAAGTGACTAGTTGTACACTCTCTTCATGATTGCTCTCTGTGGTTGTAAAGCAATCATTAGCCAAATATATTATCAATAAAATCCTGGGTTGCAAGTACTCACCTTAATATTTAAAAAAATTAAATAAAAGTTTTATATCATCAAATTAATAAATTAAATTAGATAAAAAGTAAATGTTTGTAAGTTTAATGAAGCTTAAAATGATAATCAATTACTAAACTAAAACAAAAGATACTTATCAGTCAAATTGCAAATTTAAG